GACTGAACTGAGCATGCACATACAGGAGTTCAGAGATGGAATTTAGATTTTAGACCAGGACTTGCAAGCCAAGGCACTTTTTCACTCTCTTAATATGGTGGTTGAATTTATATTGCCTTAAGTGGCTTCTACTGATATAAGATGACTTCAGAAACAAAATATTTTCAATTCTATTTCCAGATCCTTAGTTGCATCTAATAGCTGTGAGATCTGTTGCTAATATGGGAACTTTGATGGGTTTTATTGTATGTCTGTAGTTTTGCAGCTTTACATCTCTTCCAGAGTTTGTTAGACATCTGAATTACTCTGTTCAGTAAACAGAGTATCTACATGAGCTAGGCACAGGCTGTGCAGCAAGAAATACACCACATGGTGAACTCCGTAAGGGGAGGAGGCAGGTTTACCTCATTTTAAAATTTCCTCATCTTTGCACAGTCTTCCCTTGCAGGTGTTCGATGGATGTTTGTTGAATTAAGCTCACATCCTGCCTCTTTCATGCTGGTCACATGAGCCGAGCTTAAGCAAAGGCCTCTTTTTTAGAAAAGGAAATTCCCACCTTTCTGCCTCCTGTCATGTTTCTTTTACTATCTTGTTCCCATGAACTCTCACCTAGTAAGGACAAGCTTTGTTCAACTCCAGTTTCTACAATTCCCAGGATTTTGCTCCTGAAATGTCTAGAATAGCCCTGTCCAACAGAAATATTATGCAAGTCATATATCTAATTTTTAAAATTTTAGTACCTGTACTTTAAAATATGAAAAGAATAAAATATAAAAAGAAACAGGTATTATACCAATCTGGATAATTTATTTAACCTATTGTGTCCAAAATATCATTTACACAGTTTAAAATATTAATCCTTTACATGATTTTATTAATATTATCTTCAAAATCCAGCATGTATTTTATACTTACTAACCACATGTGTCTAATGGCTATCTTATTGGACAGCAAATGTTCGGAAAAAAGACTGCGCGAAAACCTGAGTTTTTGTGTACTTAGCATGTAAATAATTAAACCCAAATAGGACAAGAGAAACCATGAAAGTGTCCATTGTTTTGGCTCCATCATTGGCAAAGGAAATAAACTCAAGTAAGACAGGATTATTTGCTAAGTGACACGTAGTTTAGCTTGTTGTTTCTTTTTATACTGTTCTTTTTTTCTTTTGACTGCATTGCTGCGGCTTCCAGGCCCTTAATCCCGACCAGGGGTTGAACCCAGGCCCTTTGCCTGCAAAGTGCAGGGTCCTAACCACTGGACCATCAGGGAATTCCCTGTGCTATTTGTGTAAGTTATTCTTGGATTTTTTTTTCTTTACCATTAGGTAAAATCCGTAATTCGAAAACCATCGAGTTTTTTTTTTTAAATGCTTGTAAACTATTGGCAGTTCTTTGGGATCATCATCATCAGTTCTCTGACCTCCCTTTTCATCTCTTTTTTGCATCACTTGCTCCCTAGAGCCTAAATGATTAGGCTCTTCTATCTTTTCCCTCCTCTCCCTTGAAGCCATATCTTCTCCAACACTGACCTGACACTGTGTTCTCTGGAAACTTAAAATATTTACATTGTTTTTCTTAACATTCCTGCTAGTGGGACATGGGATTTCATTTACTAATAAGGCTGACATTGCTTCATCTGAGACATTTCAGAGTGTAGGAATAAGAAGATATCTAGTTAAAAATATAAAGCCAGATTTTTTATGCTCACATTCCTAAAACCCATAGGAAACAATGTGATTGATATAGATGAGCAAATATCTCTTAAATAACTGTTATTATTTGCCAAAAATGACAAGTTGGTGGACAAAACCATATTTGGAAGGTAGGTGGAAGTACAAGAAAGGGTTGGCTGCCAAACCCTGGGCTCATGGGGAGAGAATAGCAGGATGGGAACATATGGAGCATGTTTTAAGACAAAATTTGGACAGGAATGCAAGTGTGATAAACATGGTGGTCAGGAGAAGAATCACTGGTATGTACACTGCAGAGCAGAGTCTACAGCACCAGTGAGGAGATGTTCCAGACAAACCAAAAGCCTAGACCAGAGGGCCCGCTTCATTGTTCTTTGCCTTGTACCTCAGCTTCCCTGTTTAAAGAAAAAAAAACTGAATGTGGACATGGGAAAGATGTTTGTGTGCTGTGTTCTCAGTCGCTCAGTCGCGTCTGACTCTGTGACCCCGTGCACTGTAGCCCGCCAGGCTCCTCTGTCCATGGGATTTCCCAGGCAAGAATACTGGAGTGGGTTGCCAGTTCCTCCTCCAGGGGCTCTTCCCGGCCCAGGGATCAAACCCGTGGCTCCTGCATGTCCTGCACTGGTGGATTCTTTACCACTGAGCCACCTGGGAAGCCCTGGGCAAAATAGTAAGCAATAATTAGGAAGCTAGACTTGTAGCTCCAGATGTGGAGAGAGACTTAGCTACATTGTAAGCTCCTTCATTTAGACTTTGTGGTATTGGTCCACATATCCTTGTTCAGTGCCTGGCGCTGAATGGATCCTGGCTGGCTGAATGAATGGACTGAAAGCCGTGAATGGTGGGCACACTTCCTGAGTTCTGAGGGACGGGTTAAAGAAGAGGCAAAGGTGTTACTGGTTGACTGAATAACATTGGTGAGGTGTTGTGGGGGAGCCCTCAAAGATCGAAGCAAGAGAGAATGAATGGGAAGAAACAGGTTCTACTGCCTAAAGAGTTAGTTCTTTTTTTTCTTCCCCCATTTATTTTTATTAGTTGGAGGCTAATTACTTTACAGTATTGTAGTGGTTTTTGCCATACACTGACATGAATCAGCCGTGGATTTACATGTGTTCCCCATCCTGAACCCCCCTCCCACCTCCCTCCCGATCCCATCCCTCTGGGTCTTCCCAGGGCACCAGCCCCGAGCACTTGTCTCATGCATCCAACCTGGGCTGGTGATCTGTTTCACCCTTGATAGTATACTTGTTTCAATGCTGTTCTCTCTGAACATCCCACCCTTGCCTTCTCCCACAGAGTCTAAACGTCTGTTCTGTACATCTGTGTCAAAGAGTTAGTTCTTAAGAAAAGCACAAATGGAGAAGAGTGAAAAGGCTTGATTAAAATAAGAAGTAGGCCTGACTTTATACTGTACTTACTGCCTACAGGGCTACCTCTTGGCTCTGTGGGATAATGTCTGAGTGACACATAGTATATCAGTCACTCAGTAATCTAAGAAATTACATGTTCAGGGACTTCCCTCGTGGTCCAGTAGCTAAAACTCATCACTCCCCAGTGCAGGGGGCCCAGGTTCTATTCCTGGTCAGGGAACTAGATCCCGCACGCCGCGACTAAAATTCTGCAAGCCACAACAAAGATCGAAGATCCCGAGCAGCAGAGCTAAGATCCAGTTCAGCCAAATGAATAAATAAATATTTCTTTAAAAAAGAAATTACATATTTGGAGCTTGTGGATGTCTCTGCCCAGGAAGCTATGATTCCATCATTGTCTTAGCTGGTTGGTCATTCTGTTGTTGTTTAGTCGCTAAGTGGTGTCCGACTCTTCGCGACTCCATGGACTGCAGCCCACCAGGCTCCTCTGTCCGTGGGACTCGCCAGGCAGGAATCCTGGAGTGGGCTGCCATGCCCTCCTCCAGACCTAATACCAGCCCTTATTTTGAAGCTCTGGCATCAACTCTTTGGTTCATTTTTAAGTTATCAGAACTCTAATAGCAAAAACTTGACATTATTCAAACTAGATAAGAAAAAAAATGGTCATGTAAACGTTTAGAACAATTTCACACATATTTAGGTATCCACACCTACCAAATAATGCAGTTGTGCATTAAAAAATAATGTACATAAAAAAAGTTCAATTCACATAAATGAGTGAACCCAGGGCTCTAATTGGAGTTAACCTCCAATAGTCACCTGCCATTGAGTCTATGAGTTGGCAAATTAGAAATATATTTGTTCCCACTGGTACTTTATGCTTTCTTTTCTCAAAAAGAAAATGATTTCAACTTATGACTTTCTTTAAGCTTAACTTGGCAAAGTTCCTCAGAACCAGCTTACCCCCTACTGAGGTAATTCAGTTACAGAGCTTCATTAAGGCTGGTTTGGTTTGGGAAACTGTTTCAGTGTTTGGGATCTCTGCAATGCTAAATTATTACTTTTAACTTTATCTTGTAAAAATTATGATCTAATTATTTTTAAGTACTCTTGGTTAACAAAACACAGCAGTGGGTGTGCCTTTTAGCAGATGAAGAGACCACTTTTTACATTCCTTCGAAATAAGATATGGTTCAGTATTTTAAATCATAGCAACAGTTGATAAGAAAAACAGCAAAAAGGTAATCATTTCCATATGGAAACAGAAGGAAGAAACCAGTGAATCTGTGAACTGTCATTTTTCCATATAAAAATAAGTCACCACTGGTAGACTTGGCAGAAAGGGCAAGTGTTCCTATTTGTTTCCCATTTTACATTTGTTAACACATTGCATGTGATGTGTTTTATTGAAATAAGCCATTCCCCTCAAACTCGGCTGCCAATTTCCAAATGTGTTTTGTCCTAAATGAGGCCAACATCTATATGTGTCAAGTTCATCTAGCATAGTATTTCCTTGTAGCTCAGATGGTTAAGAATCTGCCTGCAATCAGGAAACTCGGGTTTGATGCCTGGGTTGGGAAGATTCCCCTGGAGAAGAGAATGGCAACCCACTCCAGTATTCTTGCCTGGAGAATCACATGGACAGAGGAGCCTGGAGGGCCACAGTCTGTGGGGCTGCAAAGAGTCGGACACGACTGAGTGATTAGCAATAGTAATATATTAGTATTTCCTTGGTGATAAATTTTATCAACTTAGTGACATTTTGGTGAAAGCTCTCACCCCTTTTACTGAAAAGAATATACCTTGATGTATATTACCTTATAATTACCTTCTTCCACACCAGCTAAATACCTGTCAGTACTTTTAAAACACTGAGCAAAATCGATTTCTGCTCTGGCATTCTAGGATGTAAAAGAAAAAATTTTCTGATGCCCAATTTCAGAAAAGCAAACAAAGTAAGCAGTTGCTTCTTTACTTTTTGTACTTAAGCATGATATACATTTATTAACAATCCTGACATTTATTTTTAAATAGCTGCTTAAAGTGGAAAATCTTGCCCTGTTATCGAATAAAATATTCAAGAGACATTCACATCATAGCATTTGACAACAGCTCCCTCTTGTGGTCCAAAACATTCATTTCAAAGATTAATATAAATACAGAATTGCAATTTCTTAACTTAAAATTGTGCTGTGAAAGTTTAGCTCATATTTAGTGAATGCTTTTTGGAATAAAGAGGGAAGTTTCCTTTTCTGATAGTTTCAAAGTTGTAACATCTCAGCAAAGTGTTCCCAAAGTTCTTTAAAGAAACACCAATTTTTTTTCTTACAAAGGAAAATATCAAGTAGATGTTTTCATTGAAAACATGAAAGGTTTTCCTCCTTTTCTGTGGCTATAGTATGAAGAAGGAATCAGCATTTGACTCTGTAGCATTAACAAACTGGAATTTTAAAACCTTACAGAGAAAGTAGTATTGCAAGTACTTTAGTCCAAAATTGACTTAAGGTAATTTCTCCCCTTGGTTCAAAATCAGAGGTTGCAGTAACTAGCAATAACCTGTTCTAACAACGTGAAACTGTCCAAAAAATCCTCTTCTTCAATTCCAAATTTTGTGTACTGATGAAGGTAGGCTCTGATGAAAGAAAATACGAAATAAAAATCTCAGGCAACTGAATAATTCAAAATCAAATAATAAACCTTTTGTAGCTCATGAACATCTGAACATGGCAAACTCTCTTAAAAGACTTATCTTTGCTTCAATGTTTACTCCAAAAGTTAGCAAACTTTCAAAGTTTGTGTCAAGCTCCGTCTATTCGAGAGAGTGACAATAAAAGGCACATACGAGGGGAGTTCCCTGGCTGTCCAGTGGTTAGGGGAGCTTCCCAGGTGATTCAGTGGTAAAAAGTCTGCCTGTCAATGCAGGAGATGCAAGAGACATGAGTTAGATCCCTGGGTTGGGAAGATCCCCTGGAGGAGGAAATAGCAATCTGCTCTAGTATTCTTGTCAGGAAAATCCCATGGACAGAGGAGCCTGGTGGGCTACAGTCCCCGAGGTCACGAAGAACTGGACAGGACTGGGCACGGATGCACGCATGTCAGTGGTTGGGACTCAGAGCCAGGGCCTGCGTTTAATCCCTGGCTGGGGAACTTTTATTAAGAAAACTGCAAGCTGCCAGGTGTAGCCAAAAAAAAAAAAAGACAGCACATAGGGAAAAAAAAGCGTGTTCAGATTTGGGTGTCTACCCAGCACATATTCAACACCCTAGAGGAGATGACTGGGTTCAGTATAAACTCTTAAGAAGTGCCTGGGAAGTTTTATCTAAGGTGTGGAACTGTAGAGACACATGGATCCAGTTCTAGGAATGAAATGAAGCCTCCTGACTGTTTTTTCAGACAACACTTAATTTGCACTTATGCCAGGTGATCCTGTTAATAGCCCCAGCCCTTCAAAATGTTCTGCAGAAGGAGAAATCATATTAAAAAGAATATCAAGGGCAGACATGAATTCATTAGTGAAAACAGCTGCTACCATTTACTGGCAGTGGGACGGGAACTAGACCAGAACTATACAGAAAGTGCACAGTCCTGAGGAGCTGGGGTTTGGGGAATGGCCATGTACAGGAGGGGAGACCCTTGGGAATCCTGGCCAATCAAAGTACAGGCTTATCCAGTCATCTGAGGAGTTCTGCGCTCACATTAAGTAACTGTGGCAGAGGTCAGGGAACCCACTAACACATTCTTCACACCAAGCAGACATTTCATAGTATCAGGTGGAGCTGAACTTGCTATATCCTTCTTACTGAGCAAGATCAGGATCTCTTCCATTCTCAAGGATCTTATTTTGGAAAAACACTATGGAACAGTTCTTGGGCATTTACTAGTCAGGCACTGGACTAGGTGTTTTTTTTTACATTTTTCTCTCGTTTTAACCTTCACCACATATATCCTGTCTTTTGGCTCCATCGTACAGGAAAGGAAACGAAGCCAGAAGAACATGTTCAAAGTTTCATACCTACAAAGTGCTTACTCCATGGCATAGACTGAATGTGTTCCCCCCAAATTTACACACTGCAATCCTAACTCTCAAGGTACTGATGTTAGGGGGTAAGGCCTTTGGGACTGCGATTCGGTCACCACAGTGGAGCCCTCGTGAATGCAGTGAGAGGCCCATGGAGCTCCTTGGCCCCTGCTCCCAGCTGAGGCCACGGCAAAAAGACATCATCTATAAACCACGAAGCGGGTCACTGGACATCAGATCTGCCGGGACCTTAATCTTGGACTTCCCAGCCTTCAGAAATAAACTGCTGTGGTTTATAAGCCACCCACTTTATGTTATTTTTGTTATAGCAGCCCAAACAGGCTAAGACACTCCAGAACCTGCCTAGCAGTTATCTGCCTAAGGTTAGGAAAGGTTTGTAGATTTCTTTTGTACTTACCTTGAAGCAAACATATTCCACGCTTTACCCACAATCATATCAAGTGGTTTTACTAAGGACTGGCTATTGCTGACCAAGGCTGCAGACTTCTCATATTTCCTAAAGGCTCGCTGGGTTTTCCACACATTGAAAGCGTGAACAGGCTCTAACCAGGAAGTATAGAGAGCTGGATCTTTAAATGCTCCTAGAGTAAAACAAATCACCAATTTTGGCAACAAATTAATAAACAGATACTTTCTTTTCCATTTCACCAGAAGTCTTTTGTATTGCCTTTTAAAACTAGCTTTTTATATTGCTTTTGGATAAATGATCCATGTTCATCATCATTTAAAAAATTCACACAGTTCAGAAAAGTATCAAGAAGAAAATTTAAGTCAACTCAACAGCTAAAATGTCACCACCCAGAAATAATGACTATGAACAGTCTGCTGACCCTCTCTTATACTGGAATTTTACATGCATGCTCTTATATGATTTGCATTTTTCATCCACCAATATGTTGTGAACCTCTTTTCCATGTCAATAAATATCACTCATATTTTTAAAAGCTTCTATGAACATATCATCATTTACTTAACACATTTCCTACTGCTGGGCATTTAGTTGTTCCCACATTTCTGTCAGTGTGAAAGATACTGCAATGAATATCTTTGAAAGAACACCTCTATGTACCTACATCATTTCCTGTGGGCAAATCTTTAAAAGTTAATTACTTTACATGTCCTTTTATTAATTCTTATTTTAAAATCTCAAATGAAGAATATGAAGAAAGTACCCCATCTGATTGACTTCAAATGATCTCTTCTTAATTATTACCGGTTTTTTACTTAAGGGTATTATAGGGGCTTCCCTCGTGGCTCAGTGGTAGGGAATCTGCCTCCCAGTGGAGGAGACACAGGAGACACCGGTTCGATCCCTGGGTTGGGAAGATCCCCTGGAGAAGGGAATGACGACCCACTCCAGCATTCTACCTGGGAAATCCCAGGGACAGAGGAGCCTGGTGGGCTACAGTCTATGGGATGGCAAAAAGTCAGACACAACTGGGGGACTGAACAGCCAGACAGGATGAGCCTGCCTTTTATATCACAGCTCCCACCTTGCTGTACTAAGCTGCACTCAGTCATCTCCAACTCAGTCGAAGGGATATAAACACAAGTGCAAGGTGTGACCCTTGCAGGACCGGGCCTGCCCTTCTTTGCTTATTCCTACGTGATCTGATGGCTGAAGCTCTACAGATGTCTCAGACTAAGCCTGAAGCCACGAGGTGAGGATGACAAAGCAACCAGATTCAGGAAGAAAGAGTTAAAACTTGTCTCTTATTTACACCACTTCCATTTTGCTGTCTGGTCACATACTGGTACAGGGGTTACGTTTTGCTACTAAAACAAGAGTTTTTATTTTTCCTTTCTTTAAAAGAATGAATTTGGGGGACTGGCATTGACATATAACTGGTGAGAACATACGTACAGCACAGAGAACTCTCTTCAATGCTCTGTGGTGACCTAAAGGGGAAGGAAATCCAAAAAAACAGGGTATGTATGGAAAGCTGATTCACTTTTCTGCATACCTAAAACTAACACAACATTGTAAAGAAACTATACNAGTAAGCGGAACTTTTAAAAACAAAAACATGGTGATGCTTAGATGGTGGTTTCAATGTGGCAGTTACTTAACATACTGTGTGGATGGGCAGTGACCATTAGTAGCCAGAGGTCAGTTTCTACAAGGGCCAGCAACATCGCACAAGCGAAAGTATGATGAACCTGTCTGAAAAGCAGAAACAGAGACACAGACGTAGTAACAAACATATGGACATCAAGGAGGAAAGGGGCGTGTGAGATGAATTGGGAGACTGGGATTGACATATACATACTACTGACACTCTGTATAAAATACGTAACTAAGGAGAACCTATTGTACAGCACGGGGAACTCTACTCAATGCTCTGTGGTGACCTAAATGGGAAGGAAATCCAAAAAAAGGGGAGGAAGGACTGATGCTGAAGCTAACTCCAATACTCTGGCCACCTGATGCGAAGAGCTGACTCATTGGAAAAGACCCTGATGCTGGGAAAGATTGAAGGCAGGAGGAGAAGGGGACAGCAGAGGATGAGATGGTTGAATGGCATCACCGACTCGATGGACATGAATCTGAGTAAGCTTTGGGAGTTGGTGATGGACAGGGAAGCCTGGCGTGCTACAGTCCATGGGGTTGCAAAGAGTCGGACACCACTGAGAGACTGAATTGAACTAACAGGACCATCTAGAAAAGGCAAAACCATAGGAATAAAATTCAGATCAACAGTTGCTAGGGGATTGGGGTGGAGAAAAGAGACTGTCTACAAAGGAGTGTGGAGACTTTTTGGAGCATGGAAATACTCTGTCTCAATTGTGGTGATGGTTACATGGTATTAAGTATGTCAAAACTCATGGAACTATCCACCTAGAAAGAGTGAACTTCATTCTACATGTCTCTGTGAATAAACAAATAAAATAGATAGAAAAACGTTAAGGGAAGTAGAAATGCAAAGCAAAAATAGGATTGAAAACTGACTAGTCAAAGGGAAATAGTAAGAAAATACTCTTAAATTATACATAAGATAGGGAAAAATTTCAGTGTGCGGTAACAGTCTGATTTCCAGCAAAAGAAATTTCAGACAAAAAAACTACTGGCATACTGAAAAACAGGCCAACTGAAAAATCTGGAAAGATGTTTGAACAAACATTTCACCAAAGAAGATAAACAAATAGCTAATAACCACATGAAAAGATGCTCAACATCACTGTCATTAGGAAAATGCTGATTGAAACCACAAGGAGACACAACTTCACAGCATCTAGTATGGCTAAGTCATTGGCTCTTAAACTGGCTTTGCAACCATGTGACGCACATCTCCCTTTGACTCCTGCTCAAGGAATGTTGCTAAACTTGTCTGTTAATCATGATGACTGCCTCTTTCCTATCCTACCAGGAAACTAAAGGTTAGCTTTCTGGAGAGGACAGGATTGAGTGTCTATAGTCTCAGAACACCAGGTAGAGGTAAGGGCATGGTACATACCAAAACTAGAGAGATCAGGTGAAACCCAGGATAACCACGGTCCCCCGCGCCTCTCAAGAACACTAGCGCTTTGGGTTTTTTTGTTTTTGTTTTTCATTTATTTTTATTAGTTGGAGGCCAATTACTTTACAATACTGTAGTGGTTTTTGCCATACATTGACATGAATCAGCCATGGATTTACATGTGTTCTCCATCCCGATCCCCGCTCCTGCCTCCCTCCCCATCCGATCCCTCTGGGTCTTCCCAGTGCACCAGCCCTGAGCACTTGTCTCATGCATCCAACCTGGACTGGTGATCAAGATCACTAGGGCTTTGGCTAAACCCTCTGAGCAGAATATCTAACACAGCAGATAGGCAAATAGAATATCCAGTATGACAGACATACATGGGCTAGAGGGCAAAAAAAAAAAACTAGACTGAAGCAGGTCAGAAGGCTCTGGTGAAGATTTCTCTAGGAAGATGAAACTGATAGAACACTTGAATACAGGCAGACCTTGGAGATTTTGCATGCTTGGTTCCAACCACCACAATAAAGTCAGTTATCCCAAATTAAAAGACACTTGCTCCTTGGAAGATAAACTATGGCAAACCTAGACAGCATATTAAAAAGCAGAGACATTACTGACAAAGGTCCATATAGTCTAAGCTATCATTTGCCCAGTAGTCATGTATGAACGTGACAGTTGGACCATAAAGAAGACTGAGTGCCGAAGAACTGATGCTTTCGAACTGTGATGTCGGGGAAGACTGTTGAGAGTCCCCTGGAGACTTCTCCCCTGCAAGAAGATCCAACCAGTCCATCCTAAAGGAAATCAGTCCTGAATATTCACTGGAAGGACTGATGCTGAAGCTGAAGCTCCAATACTTTGACCACCTGATGCGAAGAGCTGACTCATTGGAAAAGACCCTGATGCTGGGAAAGATTGAGGGCAGGAGCAGAAGGGGACGACAGAGGACGAGATGGTTGGATGGCATCACCAACTCAATGGACATGGGTTTGAGCAAGTTCCAGGAGATGGTGAAAGACAGGAGAGCCTGGTGTGCTGCAGTCCATGGGGTCAAAAGTGTCAGACACTACTGAGAGACTGAACAACACTCCCAACAAAGCATGTCAGACCAGTAATTTTTCATTTCCCAGAGCATATAAAGGTTATGTTTATACTGTAATGTATCAGTTGTGCAATAGCACTGTTTCTAAAAAAAACAGTGTACAGACTGTAATTTTAAAGTACTTTATTAGTGCTAAAAAATACTGTCATCTGAACTTTCAAGTTATAATCTTTATTTTTAACTTGAAAGTTGTTTTTCAGTAGTAACATCAAAGGGACTGTCCTGGTGGTCCAGGTTGATCCCCCCGCTGACCCCTGGTCTGGAAGGATCCCTTCCAGGGATGCTGCAAGGTAGCTGAGCCTGTGAGCCGCATCTCCGGAGCCCACGCTGCAGGGCCCGGGCTCCACAACAAGAGTCACAGCACTGAGAAGCCCGGGCACCGCGGCTAGAGGGGAGCCTGTGCCGCCGCAGCTAGAGAAAACCTGTATGCAGCAACACAGGTCCGACACAGCCAAGATGAATAAATAGTTGTTTTTTTTTAAAAAACAAAAAACATGATGACATGAAAAAAAAATAGTAACATCAAAGATCACAGATCACCATAACAAATGTAATAAGAAAAAGGTGTGAAACACTGAGAATTGCCAAAACGCGCCACAGAGACGTGAAGTGAGCGAACGCCGCTGGAAAAATGGTGCCAACAGATTTGCTAGATGAAGGGTGGCCACAAACCTCCAATCTGCCAAAGAACACAATATCTGCAAAGTGCAATAAAACAAGGTATGCCTGATACCAAGAAGGAACAGTTTAGACAAGTAGTGAAACAGGGCTGAATAATTGACAGGTACATAGAAAAACTAAGCAAACAAGAAAACAAGGCAATCATTAACTCCAAAGAAAACAAAAAAAAATTATACAGGAAGGGAAAAGTAATCATAGGATGCTCTGTTGCTCAGCTGTGAATAGCATTTACTTGATCATGATAGTATAAAACAGTATCGCTTTAACCCAATGATGACACTTAACCACTGTATCAGAAGGATGAGGAGACAGAGGGTATTTCAGGGCTTCGGGT